CGAAATCAATATTATAGTTACTTCAATATGAAGAAACTCATCCCTTTGTGATTTGATGTACTTCATAATCTTCAATTAAAAACGAATCTTCAGTATCTCTTATTTTTTTTTCATAGTAGAATTTCCTACACTTAATAGTATTATAATTTACAGACTCACTACTAGCACCTATAATAATGTCACTGCCAAAACATGGACCATTTGTATAGTAATAATGCACAGCACAAGATGTATTTCTTATATTACTAATAATTGCATCTTTAACATTATTATCTTTAAATGAAAAAATAAAACTGTCTTTAGTTTTTCCCCACGAATCAGAAGTATTCCATATTATCGGATTATATCCTCCAAAAATTTCATCCGTTCCTTTTACTTTAATAAAGGTAATTGTATCATGCTTATCATTACATAATTCATGAAACTTTTTAGGGGTAAATCCATCTCTACTACCTCTTAACAATAATTGAAATTTGTATGGCAAATATGATTCTCTTAAATGATCAAATTTATTATTAATTATCATTTTATCAATTCGTCTTGAAATGGTTGAAATGATATTTAAATTTTTAACAATTTTTAATTCAACGATTCCATCAAACCTAATACTTCTAGGAAATGTAACATTGTTTGTTGGTTCACTATCAGGATCCAAATGAGAATTTAATAAATCCTCATAAAGTTGACGTCTTAAGAGTTTTTTATGAGGGCGAACTTTTTGTAAGAATTCTTTAGATGATAAGCTAAAAAATCTAATTAAAGATAAACAATGTTGTAAAGTATTTTCCATTGCTTTGAAATCGTCGTCCGACCAAGTATTAGGATCTGGAAGAAGCGTATGATTTTGTGCGAGACCCCATTTTATTACATGTTCCCAAACATCAATTTCTTTCATTTGTAAATCATCTCTTTTAATAAGTTGAACTAAAGATTTTTCAGGAAGCGAAGTGAAGTCAAGTGATTTAAATATTTTCTCTGGAGATTTTACCATAAAATCCGTACAAAATTGTTGAATTTCTAATAAAGAATTTGATTGAAAGCTTGTTCTATGAATAAGTTCAAAATGTAGTTCCATCCATTCGGTTTTATTTTCGATGAAATATTTTTGTAAATAATCAACTAATTCTTGAAGAAGCAGCTCATCCGCAGCTAATAATAGTTTGAGAATTTCCAAAGTGTCTTGTCCATTCAATGAAAGAATACCACCATACATATACCTATACAAAAAATTTGAATTTCGAATTTGAATATTTGAAAATTTGAGGTTATGGTATTACATATATAAATTTATTGATATAAACTCTTACTTTAAAATGATCTGAAAGATTTCAGGTGATATTTTTGATAATTTAATATGAGCTAAAACATTATCCTTATTTTTTTTATTAGAAGCCAAAGTTCGTCGTAAATATGGAGAACGGTAACACAAAATATTCATATGAGCACGAAGGATTTTTACATTAGGATCCTCTCCAACTTCAATTGTAATATCATAATATTCATCGTCTTCTAATAATTCAATATAATTTTTGCTTAATTTTGAAAAAAATTGAGTAGACATTTAGTTATTTTAGATAAAATAAAGAAAGTTAAGTTTTAAATGGTTATCGCTTCAATTTAAATGTTATACATTTAAATGTTGTGCTCTGTAACTCGTTTCACAATAAAAATTAAGTTTACTGCGTCATTGATAATCTTAGAATTTAATGATTTACTTTTTTTAATTGTGACTACTTTTTTATTATTATTATATTCCTTCCATTCTCTCATACAATCATACTAATTGAGTTAGTGTCGCATCAGCAGTTGGTGTCGCATCAACAGTCGGTACTTCATCAACAGTTGGCGTTGTATCTTCTGCAGTTGATACATTAATAAATTGTGTTTTAGCCTTTAGGCAAAGTATGTTTACTGTTTACCTAGGCGTATAAATTTGATATGACGTTTAGGGCACAAAGAAAAGTTAAATTCAGTTTATGTTTGATCCATAATATTCATTTTTACATGTTAACTCATTTAATTGGCAAGAGTTATACGGTTTTTGTTGAGGTTACGCCTTAAGTAATGAGTCAGATGCACGAAGAGATAATTGGGCGATTGCTGAACAAAGAAAAGAGCGCATCGGTGAGCTGTTGCGAGAAAAGTTCGCTTTTCGGTTATTGATTCAACGCAAATTACTTGGATTAAAATTGCGTGTATAATATTTCTTTGAAACACCTTTTTAATTTCTGGTGGTTCTGTTTTTTTTGCATTTACATTTTTTTGTACTGCAGTTTTTATTACAGTGTAACCACTCTTGACAAAGATAGCATGAACCTATAATATATTCTCGCCTTTATACTAAACATTTTTACTAAAAAGCAATTGGTAACAATATACAGTATATTTGTATTCACGTCAAAATCTTATATTTTATTTCGCGTCAGTTACTTTATAATATTATTTGTACAACATTTTCGTATCCTACAGAATCGTTAATATAGTTAATCGTATAATATTTCTCGTATAACATCAATATAAAAAAAAGAAGTACGAATGTTAGTTAACGTTCGTCAATAAAATAAATAATAAAAAAAAAAATAAAAACTATTCTCAATTACTGTACTCAATTTTGGATATTAGGTTTATCCGGATACAAACCATTAGCCATCCGCGATGATCACGGATTATTTTGCAAAAAAATATTTTATCAGATAACCGGATATGAAAATTCTTAACGGTGCGGAATTTTTTTTATCCGGATACTAACCGGACACAAACACTGTTGACAGTCACCACACATCAGAATCCACTAGTTTAAATATTAAAAAGGTATATTAGCGGTAGCATAAAAATTGGTATTACAAATAATTTTTTGCTACAGTATAATGAGTATATTGGTCATTTTGAGGTACCCTTAAATGATATTTATTGCTTTAGTGAAAATCCTGAAATTCCGGTATTAACTTACGAAAATTTAGAGTATTTAATTGATTCAATTTATAATATCATTTATTATGATGAGCTTTTGAATGAAAAAATTTTTTAGTCGTTTAGAATTCTTATATTCATTATTACTCAAATTATCATTGTTCATTGATTTCCTTAACTTTTTATTAATTTCCTTTCTTAATTTGTGTAACATTTTTGTTTCCTTCATTATCTTCTATGATGAAATACCTAATAATTACGCCATACTTAAAATATACTTCTGCTGGTGCATCTCAACTAAGTAAGTAAATATAATAAAGCCGATGCATTAATTGTACTATTATAATGTATTTGCTCTTCGATAAAGTACTTCTAGATTTAAAACGAACATTCCATGATCCATGAGAAATCTAGAAATACTTTCTGTATCACTGACAGAAATTTCTATTCAAACTGTATCATTCGACGATGCATTAATTAATTGTATTACTATCATGCATTTGCTCTTCGATAAAGTACTTCTAGGTTTAAAATGAACATTCCGTAATCCATGAGAAATCTAGAAATACTTTCTGTATCACAAACTGTATCATTCAGATATAAATAAAATTGTAAATAAAATACGTTCAGATTTTTAAAATTCATTATCGATACTTGTTTATAACATAGTACTGTATAATAATTAATATAATAAAATGCAGCTTGCAAAAGTTATAAATATAAATGATGAAAATTCCTTTGACCCAACACCAAGATTAAAATCTAGTCACATACCGATTAAATTTATTTCTTTTGATAGGCTTTATAAAAATTGTATTTATTGTGGAGAAAAATATATTAGAGCGCTTTTTTGTTCACAAAAATATTGCAAAAAATGTTTATCACGCTATATTACTGATATAAGAGATAACAATATATGCCTGGACATATATGGCACATTAGACTTGGAATGTAATGAACATGAAGTAGGTAAAACAAAAGTACTACAAAATATTCAAGAATGCTGTGAAAATTGTGTGAGAATTTTATGTTTTAAACAAATAGGTAGATATTGTCTTTATTATCTTGATAATCACAACAAATCGATATACAATAAAGTGATTGAAAGTGAAAAAAATTGTAAATTATGTGGAAAGTCACTATATCAAGGAACAGTTAAAGATATTATGAGTACATTTAAATTATGCTCAGATTGTTATCTGGTTTCATTTGAATGGATAGAATCAACTCTGTTTAAAAAGCAAGTTTTAATTTTTCACTCACCGTTGTGGGAAGATGAATCGTATTGTGCAAATTGTCGCTCAAAATTAATATTTACGTCAGAATGTCAAAAGCATTGTGCAAATTGTCTTATATTTTATACTGGATGCAGATACTGTTTAACAACAAACATTATTTTTGGACTTACAGGTCAATCTCAATGTAAAAAATGTAAGAGAATATCACTTATTGTAAAGAGCAATGAAGATAATGATGATCTCTTTCTTAATGATATTATATACGACAGCTCACTTTTTGATAATATTGCAAATAGTGTAAATGCCATTGATAAATATTTTAATCCATTAGCACTATCACGGATTAGTTCAAATTATCGTCTTAAGTATATACCATATTCTCAATTTGAAGGTGTAGAAAAAATGACAAAAGGTGGATATGGTATTATATATAAAGCAACTTGGTTACCTAAGAATAAAATTGTCATTTTAAAAAGATTTAAAAATTCTAAATATTTCTTAAATGAGGTAAATATTTTTAAGATTTTAATTAGGCAATTTAACCTTTAATCCTTAATTAAAATCTTTAAATTTTATAGTTAAAATCGATTCGTCATTGTTTCAATGGCTTAACTTATGGTTATATAATTAATTTTTATGGCTTTACAAAAGACTCTGAATCAAATAATTATATATTAGTTATGGAATATGCGTCAGGAGGAGATTTACATAAGCATTTACAAAAGAATTTTACAAATATTACGTGGTTTCAAAAATTAAATATTTTAAAGGAGATTTTAACAGGGTACTTATATTTTTAATGTATTCATTATATTCTAAAATTTAAGTTATTTACTTTTTTTTTAATTTAGACTTGAAAGTATTCATAGTAATGAATTTATACATCGAGATTTCCATACCGGAAATATATTACTAGAAAATTTAAGATTTTCATTATGGAAAATTGGGGATCTAGGATTATCACAAGCTGTAAATGATAGATCATCAAATAATGAAATATATGGAGTTATACCTTATATTGCACCAGAAATATTTAAAAAGTCTGCATTTTCAAAAGAAGCTGATATTTATAGTTTGGGTATGATTATGTGGGAGCTTACAACAGGTTGTAAACCTTTTGCAAATGCTAAACACGATCATAATCTTATTTATAAAATTCTTGATGGAGAACGACCCAAAATTACGGAAGACACACCAGAAAGTTATGCCAATTTTATGAAACGTTGTTGGGATCCCGATCCAAAAAAAAGACCGTCTTTAAAAGACATGATTAAAAGTTATAATTATGATTTAGAGTTCAAATCAGAATTTGAACAAGCTGAAGTAAAAAGAGAGAAACTGATAGAAACAAAGATGATTGGTCCTGAATTTGCTGAAAAATGTCACTCGGAAGCTATTTATATAAGTAGGCCATTAAGTGCTTTAATTTCTAAATGTTCATCTACCTATTCATATTTATTTGGTAAGATACAGTATTATGAAAAGAGTTTAAAAATATTATATATATGATTTATAAGATATATGTTATACCCTTTAGATTTTAATTATATCTCAGCAGAATTAGAGCTTGACATAGACAATAAAAGGTATTTAAGATAGCAAAAAAAAGATTTTTTGCTTTTAAATAACTAACTAATTATTTGAATCTATTAATTTGTTCGTTTAGTTTATCATCACAAAATTTAAATTCTATTGCTTTAGATTCTAATTATATATCAGAAGAATTAGAGCTTGACATAGACACTGAAAGGTATTTAAAATAAATGATTTAAATGACATAATAATTGTTTGAATTCCAATTAATTTTCTCATCACAAAATTTAAAGTTCTACAATTCAAAACTTTTCAACTTTAAAAAAAAGAAGAAATGAAAATGTTGAAACTTATGATAATAATGGTACTTGATGTTATTTTATTTTATTTGTTTTTTTATTTGTTTTAATATTTACATTAATATGTATTTATTTAATTAAAATTTAAAAAATAGTTAAAAGTAGGAAAACGAGTTTAAACTAGTTCCAGTTATATATAAAATTATATAATTAAAATATTTCGTTATCTGCATATGTTTTTCAATAATATTTATCATACTTTTTTCATTATCAAAAAATAAAAATAATGTAACATGTACTAGAGATTGCAAATATAATAATTATATAACATTTATTATACGTTTTAATGAATAAATTGTCTACTTTTTTTTATTATTTACAGTAACTATATTATGAATAATAATCCTTGTTTCTAGCTTAAACTCGGTCGAAGACCGATATGGCCCGTTCTAATAAAATATTATACTATCATTAGGATTAGTTAGCGTACTAATATTATTATAGTGACGATCAGGATTAAAAAATTATCAGTACAGCAAATATGGTAAAGTCATTTTTTATTTTTCATTTTTGTATAAATAATGGCTTCTTTTTTTTTCCGATTTCTTTCTTGTTAATTTATATTTTCCATCATTATCTTTTATGCTGAAATGTTTAATAATTACGTTAACATCTAAAACAATGTTGAATTTAGTCTACGGACAAAGAATTTTTTGGTAACCAAAATGGCTAAGTCCAAAAGTAATAGTACTTATGCAACAGCCAAGCCCATACTGAAAAGGCTGGTTGTTCTTATGCATCGCAACTAAATAAGTAAAATGATAAAAGCGAATGCATTAATCACGTTATCGTTATACTTTCCATATCACCAACATAAAGTTCAAACTCCTGATAATGTATAAATAAATACTATATACGTTAATTTATTATCTTATCGGTACTTGTTTATAACATAGTAACTAACATAATAAAATGAAAATTGTAAATACAAATGCATGAAGAAAATTCTTTTAATCTAACGCCATGAATTATTTCTTTTGATGGAAAGGATAAAATTGTATTTATTGAAGGAGAATATATTGAGACGCTTCTTACAAAATTAGAAAAGTTCACTAAACATAATTAAAAATTCTTCATTTTAGATTTATTTAATAATAAACAATTGATAAAAAATCTAGCAGAAAGAATTCACAATTCAGAATTATGATTGAAAAGATCATTTATATATAGACAAAAGTCAGATGATCATTATGAAAATGTTATTAATTAAAACTAAATATTTTATAATGTTATCAAAAAATCGAAGCATAAATGTTATCAAATATCTACATTACTATCTCAAATTTCAGATGATTACAAAAGAATATTAATAGTATTAAAATATAATTATTTAAAATAAACTTTCTTGTAAGAGAACTAATAACCGAAGCTGAAAAAATCATTATTGGAGCTAACAAGTAACAATTATTCAGATTTAAAATCAAAAAAAATATATCCATAATTTACTTATTCAGTTACCAAATTATGATTTGGATAAATTAAGATTTAAGAGTTATCTAAGAGTTTAAATTTAGAATAGAAGAAGAAATTATAAATATTGAAATTATTATAAATTGAAAATGCCATGAAGTTAAAGTGCTGTTTACAAATATCTCCGATCAAGATAACTGAATTCGCTTATTTAATGAATATTTAACAGATTAAATGAATTATCAACTATAGCAATCAGAAAGATAATAGTATCTGCAGAAACATTTCATGAATTAGCAGATAAAGAAGAAGGAATTAATAATTTATTACAAGATGTCAAAGAAAATTCACAAAATCATGAAGCAAAGCATTAAAATTTATGAAAAACCAAAAAGTTGAAAATATATATAAAACGATAAATTATATTAAAATGGTATAAATACAGAAACAGATACTGAAAATTTAAAGCAACATTCTCATTGGAAAAGAGAAGTAACAATTTACCCAATACTCTAATTGCAATAAAAGCAGAACTAAACAATTTAATTAATAGTTGTACTATAGGAGCTCTAAATTCTACACCTCCTGAAGAATAGAAAAATACCTTCATATTGAAAGATAATATAAATCAAATTATGAAAGGCATCGAAGTCGAAAATGATATTGAAATTAAGTACGGACGGAAAATGGAAAAAAGAATTAATAAGCTAATTCCTAATTCCATGAATAAGTTCAAAACATTGTTTCATCAATTTGGCTTTATTTATGAAATATTTGTAAATAATCAATTAATCAGCTTATCCGCAACTAGTAATAGTTTGAAGTGTTTTGTCTACTTAATGAAAGAATATCACCATAGATATACCTATACAAAAAATTTGAATTTCGAATTTGAATATTTGAAAATTCGAGGTTACTGTATTACATATGGATTTGTTGTATATATCTTATTCCTGGTGATATTTAATATGAGCTAAAACAATATCGAACATAATTAATCTTGAAGACGTGAAGCCTCAATACAATCATAATAATAATTCTATTTTAAACCTTATGTCTTTTTACAAGGTTAAGTCTTTTACAGTATGTAACATTAATGGTAAGTGTATATGGTATTTAAGAATTACGATAAATTTGACTTACTTAAATTTCTTATTCTTTATTTGAGGTGATAAATTATAAACTTTTAATATCAATGAAATTCTAAATTAAGCAAATAAAAGAATTGAACGGGAAGTTAAAGACCGTAAAAGTTAGGAAGAATTATCTTTATACTAGTTGCAATAGCTATAACTTATAACTGAACAGACGAAATATAATGGATATATGCATTTTTTCTTTAATTTCTGTGAGATCAGTTTTATTTTTGTTTCAAATGTATACGAATCAAATAATTATAGATATTATATGTATATACTGTATTTATCTCCTCGTGATTTGATACACCTCATAATCTTCTATTGAAAATTGTTCTTCGGTATCTCTTATCTTTTTTTCATAATAGTATTTTCTGCACCGAATATTATTATAATCTGCAGATTCAGTACTAGCATTCATAATAATAATATCACTGCCAAAATATGGACCAAGGATAGTATGGTTTTGAAATGCATACTCTGTATCTACTATACTACTAATAATTATATCTTTAATAAAGTTGTTTTTATAAGAAAATATAAAACTATCTTTAGTTTTACCCCATCCAGAAGATTCCCATTTCACAGGATTGTATCCACCAAGAATTTCTTCTGTTCCTTTTACTTTAATAAAGGTAACAGTATTGCTTACCATCACATAATTGATGAAATTTTTTAGGAGTGAATCCATCTCGACTTCCTCTTAATAATAATTGAAATTCGTAAGGTAAATATAATCCTCTTAGATGATCAAATTTATTATTAATTACCATTTTATCAATTCTTCTTGAAATTGTTGAAATGATATTTAAATTATTAACAATTTTTGAATCGATAATTCCATCATTTTTAATAATTCTAGGAAATGAAATATCATCGGTTGGTTCACTCTCAGGATCCAAATGGGAATTTAATAAATTTTTGTAAAGCTGACGGTTTAAAAGGTTTTTAAAAGGATGAACTTTTTCTAAGAATTCTTTGGATGATAAACTAAAAAACCTGATTAAAGGTAAACAATGTTGTAGAGTATTTTCCATTGTTTTGAAATCATCATCTGACCAAGTATTAGGATCTGGAAGAAGTGTAGGATTTTGTGCAAGTCCCCATTTTAACACATGTTCCCAAACATCAATTTCTTTCATTTGTAAATCATCTCTTTTAATAAGTTGAACTAAAGATTTTTCAGGAAGCGAAGTGAAGTCAAGTGATTTAAATATTTTCTCTGGAGATTTTGCCATAAAATCCGTACAAAATTGCTGAATCTCTAATAAAGAATTGGATTGAAAGCTTGTTCTATGAATAAGTTCAAAATGTTGTTCCATCCATTCAGATTTATTTTCAATGAAATATTTTTGCAAATAATCAATTGGCTCTTGAAGAAGCAGCTCATCCGCAGCTAATAAAATTTTGTATATCTCTGAAGTGTCTTGTTCATTCAATGAGAGAATACCACCATAAATATACCTATACAATAAATTTGAATTTCGAATTTGAATATTTGAAAATTTGAGGATATGGTATTATATAAAATTTTTATTGTATATTAACTTACTTTAAAATAATCTGAAAGGTTTCAGGCGATATGTTTGGTAATTTAATATGAGCTAAAACATTATCCTTATTTTTTTTATATGAGGTCAAAGTTCGCCGTAAATATGAAGAACGGTAACACAAAATATTCATATGAGCACGAAGGATTTTTACATTAGGATCCTCTCCAGCTTCAATCGTAATATCGTAATATTCATTATCTTCTAATAATTCAATATAATTTTGACTTAACTTTGAAAGAAATTGTGATGACATAATTTTCTTTTTAAAATAAAAAAAAAATCAACAATAAAAAGAAAGTGTAAAATGAAAACCATTGTGAAACAAATTTTATTACTTATTTAGTAACGGGATTATTTCAATGTTTCACGTAATCTACGTCATAATTTTTGCATTAAAATTCCAAAATTTCACGTGATACTTTTTTTTTCATAATTGCGATCGTTTGATCAGGATTATCACGGCAAAAGTAAGTAATCCAAAAAAATAATCTATTTTCCCGATTATCCGAGTATCCCGATAATTCTTTTAATCCCTGAATGAAGAACGCATATTTTTATGTGGCATCTGGGACAAATAATAATCTTGAAAATTCAAAACCCGGCACTCATTATCCCGACATTTATTATTTTTTTCCTTTAATTTTAAATTATTACTCTTTTTTATAGATGTTATGTTTTGTAATACTTCCTAATAATTAATATTTTTATTAATATGCAAAGATTTTTAAAAATTCAAAAATTAATTATTATTATTATTAATGTTTATAAGTGTTTATTAGTTAGAAAAAAATAATTTTTTTATTAAATAAAAATGCGGTTTTTTGTATCATAAAGATATAATTTTTATTTATTTTTAATCTACCTAATTAATCTACAATATAATTTTCAAAAGGATAATAAGTGTCGAATGTTGAGATAATATTTTGAATTTTGGGCTTATAAATTGATGTCGGTTTATATTATGACGGGATGATCGTCTTGATTTTGAATAGTTCACGTAACATCCATCTTAAAATTTTTTATAAATCTAAACCTGTTATTAGGATTGAACTGATTAACGGTAAAAATTCGGTCAGAGATTTTGTACTAAGGTGGTTATCCTTTCTAAACATATATATATATATATTATATATGTATATATACTGTATATATTGCTAGTTTACTCGCAAAACTTCTTTATTTGCATTATGTTTACCGTCGTAATGTATGAAATTTTATTGATAGCGTCATTGCGATAAAAATGGTAAACATCTATTATTTAAATAATCAAGTTTATCATTAAAATTTTACTGATAAATAGTTGAAAGTAAATTATATAATATATGTGTATACATATAAAATGATAATAATTAATTCAATATTCCATATTTTCCATATTTGAAGATGTTATTAGGATGAGTTTTTGGCAAGAATTCTTTAAACATATTAATCTCAATTAAAGTCTTTAAGTATTTTTTTTGTTAGTTCGAAGTTATCTAACCAGGATCAGCGAAAATTGAATAAAAAAAATTATGTTAAAACAAGCAAAATTTCATTCGTTCAAATTTATTCATATATTTTTTTTTTACAAATATTTTTATAAATAATCAAATGATAATAATATATTGCAAAAAGGTTATAATATATCAGTATACACTATATTAAACTGTTATAGCTCGTAATACATTAATATTCATACACGTACTACATTAGAATCTTCACCATTGAACCAATGATATTAATTAGAGACTTAAATTCGGTGTTGATGATTATTTATATTTATATTTTAAATGCAATTATGATAAACGATAGTGAGAAAGTAAATCATCTTGTTAATATGATTTTATAATAAGATCATTAAAGTAACGAATATTTAAAATTATATTCAAATATTTGTAAAAATATCGTTTTTGTTAATGCCTATCTATGCTTATTTATATTTTAACATTGATGTGACACGATATATTTGCTTATCATCCTTACTATGAAGGACATTCTTTTATAGTTTCGGAGAAAAAACATATTTTCATCGTCAAGAGAATAGTATGTTGATCTGGGTCATTTGATAAATGATCATTCGTCACATGTGATCATCGAGATTTAAAAGGCGGGATTTTTTCTCTTTTTGATGATCTTTAACGGAAAGAATAAAAAAAGCACTTCCGATATCTGATATCACAAAATAAATGTATGAATTATAAAAAGTTTGTTATAAAATCACCTTTTCTTCTCTATTCTTAATTTTCTCTGAAAATATTAACTTTTAAAATTCCTTAAATATCGAAGTATAACGACAATAAAGTCGAAAATGTCAACTATTGAAGAAGGAAAACGTGGGGAAGACAAAGAAGTCACTCCAAAAGTCGCTAGCGCTGGACCACTTGGCATGTGTTCAATAGACCATTCCAACTTAATTGTTTGTTAGGGGCACTTAAACAATTTTTTAGAAAATAGAAGGGGTGAAAACATTAAATAAACAATTAGGTTGGAACGGGAATATTTATTATTATTAATCTAAATTCAAAATGTTAATTTTTCTAATTTTATCCATAATTTTGTGTTTAAATAATAGGGTTAAGTGCATTTGCTTTATCAGTATTTGTATTATCGATTAATAATGCTGGATCCTCATACCTACAACTTCCAAATATTACAGTAGGATTAGCATTAACTTATGGTGGGATAGTACAAATATGTGCAGGATGGTGGGATCTTACCGTTGGAAATAGCTTTGGTGCCACCGCTTTTTGTTCTTATGGTGCTCTTTGGCTCTCTTACGCTGCAAACTTCCTTTTTAACCTTACAGATTTTGTGGTACCCGATGACCCTTTTGCAGTTGATCATGCTAGTAAATATAGTTTTTTTCTTCCTTAAAATAAATTTTGATATCAAATTAATCATTACTATATTTTTTTTTTAGTTGGAATAAGTTTAATAGGATGGGAAATCTGTAAGTATATTTCATACACGCGACTCATATATATATTTATCATTTTTTTAATAAAAGCTCCTTTTTTTTTAACTTAACAGTTACGTTCCTTATGACATTAGCGGCGCTCAAGACAAATGGAGCATCTTTGTTATTATTCGTTTTCGTAAATATCACATTTATCTTACTTATATTAGGGAAATTTTTCCAACTTAATGAAGATATAAAGGGACCAAATGGTTTAACAAAAGCTGGTGGTGTATTCGGTATATTTGTCGCATTAACGGCTTGGTATAACGCATTTGCTGGATTAATAACCCTCGAAAATTCTTATTTCACTTTACCCGTTTATGATTTAAGTCGTAAGAACAAATAGAAAATAATTTTTTGTACATAAATATAATTTATATGACAAATTAGTACATGTTTACCGTAAAAAAAAAATACATATATACATATACTGCAAACTAGTTAAACCAATTTATTCATTTTATATTAATTTTAATAAATGATAAAAATCTATTAGTAATAATTACGACATAAATATGTATGATGGTAAAACATTTACGCTGAAAATTTAGGATTGGATCGGTCCTAGAAAGAACTAATCTTACTAGGACCGGTCTTCAACGGTCTTCGATCCAGGATTTGAGGGCTGTGATCGATTATATAAAATTTTCGACTAATAAAATACCTATTATTAATCAATTTTTCATTTTGATTTATTAAAATTTTCATATTTCAATTTTTTGTAATATCGATATCATTTGATTCCTTATTGATGCTTTAAAAAGGTAAAGTATGAGACTTATAAATTAATGTCAAGATTTAGTGCGCCTGTTATGTTTCATTGTCTTGCTGATCAATAATCAATACCGACGTTATAAATAAAAATAAATTTGAAACCATTAAGGACCGGTCTTACAAATGATCAAAAGAACTGCCCCGAAAGATAAATGGACTAGACCAGACCGAACCAATCCAACCCTAGTATAAACGTTTGTTAATAAAATGATTTTTGGCAAATATTGTTAGAAATGTGTGCTAGATCAATATACTTTTCACTTCTATAAACATAATTTAAAGCAATTTTATTGGTTACCCATAAAGAAGTTAAAAATTAGTTATCGTAGGTGACCGGGTCAACAGAGTGGATATCTATCTCACATGTCATACCAAATTAGCATAGCTGTCTTTTTTTGGAAAATTTCTTTCAATAAAGCCATAAGAATTTTATCCGAGTTAATTATAATATGAACTAGAAAAAAGAAAAAAGATAAATGCGTGATATATATATAATGTTTTTAAAATAATTTTCAAATTAATTATTTACCAAATATTATTCCTTTTAGAATTGAAATTTCTTCATTCTACCAGTGATTGTAAATCACTGCATTTACCTATTATGAGAAAGAAAAATTATTAATAGTGTGCTAAATTTTTATTTAATCATAAAGAAGACATAGCCAATTCCTCCTTTAGAATTAGCAGACTTTACTAACAACAAAGTAGGATATTATCTGCTTGAGTTGGTTATCAAGTGANACATAGCCAATTCCTCCTTTAGAATTAGCAGACTTTACTAACAACAAAGTAGGATATTATCTGCTTGAGTTGGTTATCAAGTGAACAAGAGAAATAAAAAAAAAAAATAAAAAAAGATAAAAAAGAAAAAAGAAAAAAGAAAAAAAGGGAATAAAAAAATAAAAATAAAAATAAAATAAAATAAAAAGCAGATAATTCTCCTAAGTCAACCTTGTGAACTCCCCGACTCAATTGAGTTATCCGTTCTAGATTTTCCTAGGAGTTACCCACTTTGTTCACCCTTACCCAACCCAAGCAAACAAATCCAGTACCCTCCTAAGTAAAATTTGTGAACTCCCCGACTCAAATGAGTTATCCGTTCTAATTTTAGCTTAGGAAGTTACCCACTTTGCAAATAAAAAAATACACACCTCTTTTAAAGTCTCCTAGCCATTTTACACACATCTAGTAAACCAGCAATACTCCATTCAGAGAGCTTCCGTCTGTTGCCTAGTGTTTCAATGCTCAATGCTACACTACTGAAACATTTTCCTTAAGAAAGGCTTTTGCAAGACGGCTGGTATGCTTGGGATCGTTGTCTTGTTGGAAGCACCAACGATCACCAAGCATCTGGAAGATCTCAGTAATATGTGTACGAAGAATTTCCACAATCCACATAAAATTTGGCGTTCATAATTTGTTTAAAACAAAAATAATTTTGTTTTTCCTTTCACGCAGAATCCACCTCATGCCATAATCTTCGTACGATCTTTAGGCATACACCAAACTGGTCTTTCTCCTTTATACCATCATTCAACGGTGTTTCTAAAGATTTGAAAAGAAGTTTTATCAGTATAAACAGTTTTATCCCATTGGTTATTAATATGTTTTTTTTGCCCACTCCACACGCTTTACCTTGTATGTTTTGGTCAGCATAGGGGTTGCGTTAGGCAGTCTTTTTACACAACCAATACTTGAAAGATGCCTTCCAACGGTTCTATACGATACTTCTACGCCTATATTTTCTCCAAAGTTCTTGTGAAAAGAGACGTATCATGCCTTACAAATCGACCAAGTGCACGGGAGACATTTGTGGTAATCTTTTTGGGTCTCCAGCATGCTTTATAGTCCCATTTTCTTTAAATTTTTTATATTATCGTAAATAGTGGACTTTTGGATGTTTGTTAACCTATGTAATTCTTTTACATTATGAATACCGTTATTCCATAAATGTAATAAGACTTCACGAGACGATTTTTTATTTGAAGAAGACATTACGATGGGAATTTTCTTGCGAAAGGAAGGGTGTAGGTAAACACAAAGGTTGTTAAACGTAAAACACAACCATATTACTGTATTTATTATTTGTTATATTCGGACTCTAGGGCATTTTTGGAAAGAACGTTCTGAAAAGGTGAGTATTTTTTTTTTTTTTTTTTTAACTGATGGTATATATATATGTTGAGAGTATATATATACTTGTTTACAAGTAAAAAAATCGCGACTCGCGACTCGTAAGTAAAAAATGATCGTATCTCATGTGATTCTGCAATTGATTATGTGCGGAGCTTGTATATCGCGCCTATAGTTTTATTTATATTAGCTGTTAGTAGTGTATTAATATGTAAATATATTTAAAATTTCCCATTATATATTAAGTGGATTAGTGATTAAAATAGTATAATTTTATGTCCGACATGATTATTTTAAACAATCGAGACATTGTACTACATCACTTGAAATAATAAATTATCTAAATTTTTGATTTACAATTTTTTATATATTTCGTTTTTTATTTTATTTAGAATTATTTAAACACTAAGAATAGAGTAGTTTGTAATTTGAATAATTTCATTTATTAACACTTTAAATAAATTATTATATTATTATACAGTTGATTATTCGTAAAAATTTATTGTTGTATTGCAATGTAGCGACTAGCGAGTAATGAGTAGTGCCTTGAATTGAGAACCAAAATTAAAGTCGTTCAAATTCACAAAGATCTTAATGACATTTAATTCATTTATTGTTATTCGCATTTCGTTTAAATTTAAGTCATATCTCGGTATCATTTTTTTTTTCATATCTAATCATAAGAAGCCAATTTACTTTTTCACCAAATTAATGAAGAAAAATACAATATTGAATCAATGCGAAAATTATTTATTCCAATAACTAGTAATATGAATCTTTTTATTAAACTATTAAACTACCATCAAATTAAAAAAACTTTTTTATTTATAAATTGCGTAATATCACTAGAATCATTTCTCCTACATTAATCAGTTACAAGATTTGTTTCATAAAGGAAATAAAATCTTGAATCTTGATAAAAAAAAATCTGATCTTGATAATATTAAATCTCTTTTTTTAAAAAAAACTAGAGGATTCTAATGTGCGGTGACTTCGTCACCGCTAATTGATCTGCTTAAATTGAAATGTATTATATAATAATGTATAATAGTGTAATATTAATTTTATTATTCTTATGAACTTATTTATAAAAGAGATGTCCTTAAAGAAGATACTTCAGTTGACATATGAAATCTATTGAATCAAAGGTAACATGAAAATTCCCGTTGTCGTAATTTGATGTTAACTATGGTGCAGAAAGTTGAAAATAAAAATCAAATAAAAATCATGTTTGTTAAAAATTATTTTATTTAAATGTGATAGACACTGTATAATGGCATATTGACATCAGATATTTCTATATTGTTTGAATAAAAAATTTTCAAATTATTAATACCTCGGATTCGTATTAAGTTACACAAGATTTTGGTTCTTATAATTTTATAAATCTTAATTACCTAATTTTTCGAAAGTTAACTATTTGATAATTTATTATCCCATTAAGAAATATAAGATTGATCAAAGAGAAGATGAATAATTGTATTAAAGATAAATACTATTGCAGAGAATATTCCATCATCATCTGTCCAGTTATTTGGATCTGGATTATCAAATGTAAGATTTTGTGCAAAACCCTATTGAGGTACATATTTCTTCTTTCATTTCTTATAACTAAAGACTTTTAGGAAATGGTATGAAATCGAATGATTGAAATAAAATACTCTTGGGATCTGGTTCATTTCACTATAATTTCGCCGACAGGAACATTTTACCGTTATTTCACCACTTATTTTAACCTTAACCTAACCCTAATCCTAACCCTAATTTCCTTACCTAAATATAATCCTAAATTCCCTTGTCCGAAATGACCCTGTCAGTGAATCGGTGAGATATTCCACCAATAATCATTTATTATTTTTATTTTTTTTTATTTTTTTTATTTTTAAGTTTCAATGAAGGAACGGCGACGCACATACACGACAACCAATATTGACCAACAGTTGAGAATGAAACAGTTTTAAAAGTGTACATTGCATCTAAAAAAGAAACTACCTAAGACAACCTCCTTCAAAGTGGATTAGCCAGACCAAGCATCGTTCGATACTCGGCCAAAGCCCCTCACCTATCACCCAATTCATTTTTGTTCCAAAGATGAATGCACGTGATCGTAACCGATCAGCAGTAATTCTGCTTTGATTAATAGAATTTTTACAAAAAAACCAATCAAAATTAGAACACTTAGTCATTTCGGTGATCGTTTCTAGTTTTATTATTGTATGTACCGCTTTTGGTAAAGAAGATTCTGCACTCTAAAACAAGGTTTGGAATATCGGTTTATCAAACGCACATTGCAGATCGCAATAGAAAATGACTAAATGACTTTAATTTCATAGATGTATTTGAAGATAGATGTATTTAAAGATGACATAAGATAAAAAAAATTCATTGTGCTACTTATTTAGTAGTAATGGATTGTTTCAATGTTTCACGTAATATACGCCATAATTATTTAAACATGATTAAAAATTCAAAATTTGATTCGTTTCTAAATTTTAAAATTAACGGTGTCACAAATTGTAAGTTTACGTGATATTGTTTTTTATCCATTTTTCTTAGTTGCGATCGAACTATTAGGATTATCATCTAGTCAAAAGTAATCTAAAAATCAAATTCCATTTTCTCGATTATCCGGATATCCTGATAATCTTATTAATACCTAAATACAATAAATTTTTTTTATAATAAATAATAAATAATGGATTATAAATCTAACCAGAAAATAGTGGTTATTGGGATTGAACTGATTAACAAGGGATTTATTTAAAGGTTATCTTTTTCCATTAAAAAACAAAAAATTATGTTACTGTTCACTTCTTTACATTACCTTTTAAGGTAGATATTGTATTATCATCGTAAGATTATCGATAACATTATTACGATAAATATGGTAATATTTTTATTTAAATATTTGAAAGTAATTATATAATGTATATACATACACATAATAATTAATTCAATAATTCTATATCTGATATTAGGAATTTAGGATGAATTTTTTCTAAACATATCAAAGCCTTTAAGTACTTTTTTGGTTAGTTCTAAATTACCCAATTAGGATCCAAAAAATTGTTGTCTAGTTTTAATATAAATTGTTAAAGTTAACCTGTTCAATGAAAAAGACCATGCATTCGAATTATTTATCTGTTTATTTATATCTATTTATTTATCTATTTATTTATTTTTGACAAATACTTTTATAAATAATCAAATAATTAAACTTATTCACGGCCAAAGGACCAATAAAACTTTAAAAAGCTCTTATACTCAATAAACAAAATCAACATAATTATTTTATAACAAAAAGATAACAATATATTATTATACATTCAGCTGTATTAAATTTATTATAGCTCTTAATGAAGTAATATTCATACCCGTACTACATTAGAATCTCCATTAATTGAATAATCGTATTACTATAATAATTGAAGACTTAAATTTGTACATGACGTTAAAATAGCATTGGTAAAAATTTATACTTTAACTCCGGCCAGAATTATAGTTTAAAAAATGAAAATTATTAACAGATAAATAGATTTGAGATCTTTCACAAAAAGGTTTTTAAATTTATTTTATTTATTTATTTATCCGTATAATCATGTTATATAGTTCATCTATACACGTGGTGTCAAGTGAGGGAATAATTGGCTGAAAATAGGATGTTAATCTGGTCATTTGATCATTTGTCGCATGTGATCATCACGATTTAATAATCAAAAATGTTAATGCGAAAATCGAACATGACGGGGGTGATATTCTTTTGTATTACAAAATAAAAATTTTTTTGATTATCTTTTACGGAAGGAATAAAAAAAGAACTTCCGAATTCCGATGTCACAAAAAGAATGTATGAATTTGTTATAAAATCACCTTTTTTTTCTCTATTCTTAATTTTCTCTGAAAATATTATTAACATCTATAATTCCTTAAATATCAAAGTATACCGACAATAACGAACCAAAAATGACGACTCTTGAAGAAGGAAAAAGTGGTGAATTCAGAACATTCGAAGACACTTCACCAAAAGTCGCTAGCTCTGGTCCACTTGGCATGTGATCAATAAACCATTCCAACTTAATTGTTTATTTAACGTTTTCACCCTTCTATTTTTTTTTTTTTTTTTGAAAAAGTTATGTTTAAATACCCCTAACAAACAATTAAGTGGGAACGGTAATATTCCTTATTAAACTAAATTAAAATTTTAGCTTTTCTAATTTCATCCATAATTTTTTTGTATTTAAATTAATAGGGTTATGCGCATTTGCTTTAACAACATTTGTATTGTCGATTAATAATTCTGGATCCTATTACCTACAACTTCCAAATATTGTAGTAGGATTGGCATTATTTTATGGTGGTCTAGTACAATTAATAGCAGGATTGTGGCATCTTAAAGCTGGAAATACCTTTGGTGCCACCGCTGCTGGTTCTTTTGGTGCTTTTTGGCTCTCTTACGCTTCAAATTTCATTTTTCGTCTTACAGATTTTTACATACCCGAAGATCCTTTTGCAGTTGATCATGCTAGTAAATAAAGTTTTTTTTCTTCATTAAAATAAATTTTGATATCAAATTAATCATTACTAATTTTTTTTTAGTTGGAATATATTTATTAGCATGGACTATCTGTAAGTATATTCTATACACGTGACTCATATATACATTTTATCATTTTTACTAAAAGCTCGTCTTTTTTTTTTTTTTAACTTAACAGTTACGTTCCTTTTGACATTAGCGGCGCTCAAAACAAATGGAGCAACTCTGTTATTATTCTTTTTCTTAAACACTGCAATGGTCTTACTTACATTAGGGAAATTTTACCAACTTAGCGAAGATGTAAAAGGACCAAATGGCTTAACAAAAGCTGGTGGTGTATTCGGTATATTAACCTCATTAATGGCCTGGTATAATGCTTTTGCTGAATTAATAACCCTCGAAACTTCTTATTTCACTTTACCTGTATATGATTTAAGTCACAAGAGAAGATAGTAAAAAAAAAAAAATATTTTTTTTTGTACATAAATATAATTTATATAATAACAACTAGTACATGTTTGTCGTATAGTAGTTAAACTAATGTACTATTTGTATAAATATTTTTCAACAAACGTAATGTAAAATAATTGAGGTATATGTTCTCATTACCATCTGAAACTCTGGACGAACGTTATAGCATTTCTTTTTTTTTTTTATAAAAATAATTAAACTTCACGAGTTAGATGGAATCTTTTTTAATCAAATTCGAAATAAAAAAGATATGAATAGGACTTTACTTGCAACATTATTTCTTTTTATCTAATAAAGGTTAAGAAAATTCATAATATTTTTTCTATTTCTTCTCTATAACAGCAACTTAAGTGTACGATAAATTTATTTAACAACTTAACGATACATTGATCATCACGGCGGTGACGTGATGATAATGAGACCGAGGCTGATCATGAAATAACTGGTTTATACCACGGAAATTAATGTCCCGTATACAATTTTAAACTACCGATAGACTTTTTTAACTTATCCTTTTAAGTAAACATAATGTCATCACGTAAGATATTAGAAAACATGATATTAACCATATTAACCATAATAATTGCCCGATAATAGCGCATACAATAAAGTAATTTAAGATATCCTTGTTTCAAATAAAAACGAAACACTTCATTTATTTATTTGTAATTTGAAATACTTCATATTCTTCTATAAAAAAATATTTGTCGTTTAAATTAATATCTCTTACCATTTTTTCATAAAAATACTTTCTACAAAGAACAGCTTCATAATCACTATTTTCGGTAGGAGAATTTATACATACAGTGGTCGAAAAAAGTCCTCGGAATTACAAAAAACGCAAAAATTAAGCAACCAGTGATCAGAATTGCTTTAAATTTTGCAGATTTATTACCAAATGTGTGAATATTATGCATACAAAATTTCAGCCATTTATCTTGTTTCCTTGTCTCACAATCGGTTTTTTAAGTTCAAAAAAAAATCATTAAAAATTTAAGCAATACGATAACTTGAAATGATTAACATTTTGCGTTCAGTTACTAAAAATCAGCTTGTATACTTATAATAAAAAATTATAAACGTAAAAAAATATATTTCTAATTAGTTTATTAAAAAAATTTGATTATAGTTTAATCAGTTAGTTTTCTGTAAAGTGAGATTAAAAATTGGCTCAAAAGCACTAAAGTCATTAAAATTAAAATAGTAAAATCATAGTACATTAAAATTATTTGTATAGATAATTTTTTTTTAATATTAATCTATTATTAAATAGTTTTTACAATAATTTTTTTATAATTATTATAGTTTAACTTTGATTATGAATTTTAGTTCTTTCAATTGATTTTAAGGGTAGAAAACAGTTGCGATCAATTGTGGTGGATAAAATTTAATTACAATTTTCTCAACAACTAACAAATAATAAAGGGCCAAATTTTTTTTGTTAAAATTATCATACCATAAACTATGATTTATAACTGTTCAATTTTTAATAAACTTCAATTTGAATATTATATCAGAATTTCAGATTTTTTGTAGGTTAAATTTTTGATGACTTATTTTTTTGAACTTTAAAAAAACGATTGCGAGACAAAGAAGCAAGATAAACAGCTGAAATTTTGTATGCATAATATTCACACATTTGGTAATAAATCTGCAAAATTTGAAGCAATTCTGATCACTGGTTGCTCATTTTTTGCATTTTTTTGTAATTCCGAGGACTTTTTTCGACCACTGTATATCACTTCCAAAATGTGGACCAAAATTAGAGTGATGATACACTGCATGATCTTTATTTTCTACGTTACTAATGATTGCATCTTTAACACTATTACTTTTAAAAGAAAAAATAAAACTATCTTTAGTTTTAGCCCATAAACCAGAATCATGAGATTTCCATATTATTGGATTGTATCCACCAAGAATTTCGTCTGTTCCTTTTACTTTAATAAATGTAACAGTACAAGGTATATCATTACATAATTCATGAAATTTTTTAGGTGTAAATCCATCTCGGCTCCCTCTTAACAATAATTGAAACTTGTATGGTAAATACAAATCTCTTAATTGCTAATTCAGTTAAGATCAGCAGTGTCTTACTATGTAAAATCGGGGCAAAAAAAGAAAATAATTATCTTTTGATCCAATGATCCAATTTCAATGAACTTTTTTTTGTTTTATAGATCTTGATTTTCTCAATAAAATAAAAAATTTATTGAAATTGAAATACTAAATTATAAGAAAATCGTGAAAAAGTATTTCATATTATTATTATGACTAAATTTTAGTAAATCATAAAAAAAGAATTGATTCCTAATTCAGTGATCCAATTTCAATAATTTTTTTTTGTCTTTTAGGTCTTAACCTCTTCTGCACAATAAAAAAAAGTTTGTCAATATTGGACTGCTAGATCGGAAGATAATCACAAAGATATATTTTGCCATATCATGAATCTAAAAATCGTCTGGCAAAATATGTTTTCGCAATTATCTCATGATCTAGAGGCCCAATTTTGACAAAATTCTTTTATTATGTAGAGATTATTGAGATCTAAATAACAAAAAAAAGTTTATCGAAATTGGATCACTGAATTAGGAGATAATTGTCTGCTTTGTTATTAATGGAATCTGATCGTTGTCAGTAAAATATGTTTTTGTGATTATCTCACAATCTAATGGTCCAATTTCAATGAAATTATTTTTATTTTATAAAGGTAATCCAGACTTACAGAACAAAAAAAAGTTCATCAAAATTGGATTATTAGATCATATGATAATTATTTTTATTATTTGCACCAATTTCCCCAATTTTACATAGTAGGACACTGCTGATCTTAACCGAATTAGCAATTAAATGGTCAAATTTATTATTAATTACCATTTTATCAATACGTCTTGAAATGGTTGAAATAATATTTAAATTATTAATAATTTTTGAATCAATAATTCCATCTACTTTAATATTTCTAGGAAATGAAATGCTTTCAGTTGGTTCACTATCAGGATTCAAATGAGAATTTAATAAATCTTCATAAAGTTGACGTTTTAAGAGTTTTTTATAAGGATGAACTTGCTGTAAGAACTCTTTAGATGATAAACTAAAAAATCTGATTAAACATAAACAATGTTGTAAAGTATTTTCCATTGCTTTGAAATCGTCATCTGACCAAGTACTAGGATCAGGAAAAAGTGTGGGATTTTTCGCAAGTCCCCATTTTAATACATGTTCCCAAACTTCAATTTCCTTCATCTGTAAATCGTCTCTTTTAATAAGTTGTACCAAAGATTTTTCAGGAAGTGAAGTAAAATCAAGTGATTTAAATATTTTCTCTGGAGAGTTTACCATTAAATCTGTACAAAATTGTTGAAGTTGTATTAAAGAATTGGACTGAAAACTTGTACGATGGATAAGTTCAAAGTTTTGTTCCATACATTCGGATTTATTTTCAATTAAATATACTTGTAAGTAATCAACTAGTTCTTGAAGTAGTAATTCATCTGCAGCCAATAAAATTTTAATAATTTTTGAGTCATCTTGCTCGTTCAATGAAAGAATCCCGCCATAAATATATCTATATTAAGTTAAATTTTAATATTAAATATTATAAAACTTGCTATTATAATATTAAATTTATTTGTATAATAACTTACTTTAAAATAATTTGAAAGACTTCAGGTGATATTTTTGGTAACTTAATGTGAGCTAAAACATTATCTTTATTTTTTTTATTAGAAACTAAAGCTCGTCGTAAATATGGAGAACGATGACATAAAATATTCATATGAGCATGAATGATTTTTACGTTAGGATCCTCTCCGACTTCAATTGTAATATCATAATAATCATCATCTCCTAACAATTCAATATAGTTTTGACTTAATTTTGAAAAAAATTGAGTAGACATTTTTCGTTTGTCTTTTTTTAAAAAGAATAAAAAAAGATAAAAATCATTATGGAAAAAAAGGTAAATAAATGTTGTACAGTGGATCATGTACAATACGCCAATCTGCAGCCATCTTACCATAAAAATTTAGCTTGAAATCTACGAATAATTATGGTTTATATGAAAATAACCCTTTATTGCCCTTCTTTTTATTGACATATAAATCATATTTTAAATCAACCCGTAAAAAGGATTGTGATAAAGATGATATAACAAGAAAATTATAATTCATGATACTCACCTATTGTTGTATTTTTAATATGTTTCTTTCGCCAAATGAAGAATCAGGAATTCTTGTAATATTTCAATTTGTTTGTTTTAACGAAAAAAAATGAACACGTGATGTACAGCAAATGCATTTTTATTTTTTAAAGAAAATATAGAGTAAATTGTGCCTTCACCTTTTTTCATGTAAATATTAGAGATATTTTCGAGATTTAATTTTTTTATTTTTCAGCTTTTTATACAATTCAAAGCCTAGTAAATAATTTTTTCATATTCATAATGATTTGTTTCATAATGACGGATCTTAAAACATTTACAATAAAAACATTTCAATGATTCCCACTAACCAATTAGCCCATTTGTTTTTGTTGTTTGCCTATTTTAAAACATGCCCAATAAAAAAATAATCATCTGGAAAATGTCTATGAAAATGTCTGGAAACTGGTCCAGAATAAATCTGGCATGTCCAGAAATTGTCCGGAAAATGTCTATTTTTTTGCTACAAATTTGATACTTAAAATTTTGACATATCCGGAATTTGTCCAGAATTTATCCAGAATTTGTCCAGTATAAAATTTTGGACAAATTCCGGACAGATAAACCTGGATAAATTCTGGTTATAGTAAAAATTCAGATAATTTGAACTGGACAAATTTTGGACATGAAAAAATTCCGGACAAATTCTGGGCGCTATTTCCAAAAAAAGGATAAATTAATTTTGTAAAAAAACGCAAAAAGCACAAAACTGACATCCATAACCTTCTTTGTCATACTAATGAGCAAGCAAGAATACTATATATCTATGATATAAAGTTTTAAGTTAAGAGCAATTATAGTGATGGTGGCAGAAATGAGTGTTTTCGGAACAATTTCCGGACATGGTACCTGGACATTTTCTGGACAATTATTTAGACAAATTTTCTAGATTCGATTTCTGGACAATTTCCGGACACTTATTTTTATAGGGTTTATTTTAGTTATTAAAATCTTAACGCAAAATTGTGGCAATTTCCAGGGTCTGTGCTCTTGATGATGTACTTTTTAAGCCATTTTCGTTTGAAAGACTTCAACGCATTAAGTTTACAAGAGAGATTGTCTGAAGAAAAACGATTAATTTTCAATTAACAAACTTTTATTTATTATTACAAATTGTCTAAAATTACATTCTATTAATTTCAGTGTTTAATTTATAATTATGTTAAATTATTTTATTAAACTATTTATCAATAAAAAACTTTAACAATTGAGTTTGACAATAAAGATAATATTACTAATAAGATTTCACTTTGGAAAAATGTGCAGCGTGACGCCCGCTTTGGACGTTTAACGGTCACCGTTACCTAGTTTATTTGTAATTTGAAATACTTCATATTCTTCTATAAGAAAATGTTGTTCGGTAAATTTAATATCTCTTATCATTTTTTCATAAAAATACTTTCTACAAAAAGATTTCTCATAATCTTTACATTCGGTAGAAGAACTTATAAATATATCACTTCCAAAATGTGGACCATGAATAGAGCGATGATACACTGCATGATTTTTATTTTCTACGTTACTAATGATTGCATCTTTAACACTATTATTTTTAAAAGAAAAAATAAAGCTATCTTTAGTTTTAGCCCAAAAACCAGAATCATGAGATTTCCATATTATTGGATTATATCCACCAAGAATTTCATCTGTTCCTTTTACTTTAATAAATGTGACAGTACAAGGTATATCATTACATAATTCATGAAATTTTTTAGGTGTAAATCCGTCTCGGCTTCCTCTTAATAATAATTGAAATTTATATGGTTGTTTTAAATGAATAAAATTATTGTTAACATCCACTTTGTCTATCCGTCTTGAAATAATTGATATAATACTTAAATTATTAATAATTTTTGAATCAATAATTTCACCCATTTTAATATTTCTTGGAAGTGTAATATTGTCAGTTGGTTCACTATCAGGATCCAAATGAGAACTTAATAAATTTTCATAAAGTTGTCGTTTTAAGAGTTTTTTATATGGATGAACCTTTTGTAAGAATTCTTTAGATGATAAACTAAAAAACCTAACCAAGGGCATACAATGTTGTAAAGTATTTTCCATTATATTGAAATCATCATCCGACCAAGTATCGGGATCTGGAAGAAGTGTGGGATTTTGCGCAAGACCCCATTTTAACAAATGTTCCCAAACTTCAATTTCTTTCATTTGTAAATCATCCCTTTTAATTAGTTGAACTAAAGATTTTTCAGGAAGCGAAGTGAAATCAAATGATTTAAATACTTTCTCTGGATAGTTTACCATAAAATTCGTACAAAATTGTTGAAGTTGTATTAAAGAATTGGACTGAAAACTTGTACGATGGATAAGTTCAAAGTTTTGTTCCATCCATTCGGATTTATTTTCAATTAAATATACTTGTAAGTAATCAACTAGTTCTTGAAGTAGTAATTCATCTGCAGCCAATAAAATTTTAATAATTTTTGAGTTATCTTGCTCGTTCAATGAAAGAACCCCGCCATAAATATATCTATATTAAATTAAAATTTCAATATTAAATAATAGAAAACTTGCTATTATAATATTAAATTTATTTGTACACTTACTTTAAAATAATTTGAAAGACTTCAGGTGATAATTTTGGTAACTTAATATGAGCCAAAACATTATCTTTATTTTTCTTATTAGAAACTAAAGCTCGTCGTAAATATGGGGAACGATAACATAAAATATTCATATGAGCACGAATGATTTTTACGTTAGGATCCTCTCCGACTTCAATTGTAATATCATAATATTCATCATCTCCTAACAATTCAATATAGTTTTGACTTAATTTTGAAAAAAATTGAGTAGACATTTTTCGTTTGTCTTTTTTTAAAAGAATAATAAAAAGGTAATAAATGTTGTACAGCGGATCTTGTACAATACGTTAATCTGCAGCCATTTTACCATAAAAATTTTAATAGCGTGAAATCTACAAAATAATAGTCATCTATGATCTATCTCATTGGTTTAAATGGAATAACCCTTTATTGAACTTCTTTTATAAATTATCGTATTTATATTTTAAATCAACCCGTCAAAAAGGATAGTGATAAAGATGATGTAATAATAAATTATAATTCATTATACTCATATTTTTAATATATTTCTTCCACCAATGAAGAATCAGGAATTCTTGTAATATTTCAATTTGTTTGTTTTAACAAAAAAAAATGAGCACGTGATGTACAGCAAATGCATTTTTATTTTTTAAAGAAAAATATAGAGTAAATTGTACCCCTTTTTTCATGTAAATATGCGAGATATTTTCGAGAATTGACATTTTCTCATTTTTCAGCCTTTTATACAAATTTTTTATGCAATTCAAAGCCTAATAAGTAATTTTTTTATATTCATGATGATTTGGTTCATGACGATGGATCTTATAACACTTATGATGAAAACTTTTCAATGATTCCCACTAACCATTTTAATCCTAATTTTAATAACCTCATCTAAACATTTTCAAAGAAAACTAAATCAAAAATAGTAATTGAAATTTTAAGTATGATTTAAAAAAAAAACTAGAAAAAAATTATGAATTATTTCAAATTAAGCTTAGGATCTAAAAATGTTAATCTTCAATCATTATATCTTTGGTATAGAATTTACAGTAATTTATTTAGCTTCATAAATAATATGAGCGCTTTTGAATCTATCCGTTGGATTTTTTTACAAAGTATTCTAGAAGATAGTCATTTTTTAGTGTTTCTATATAAGGCCAAAGAAATAAAATTATTCATTTCTCATGAAAAAAAAATTCTAAATTTGTAAATTTAACCCGGCCGCCCGGAAAAAAAATGATTTTTCAAAAAAAAATTTAGCCTATTTCTAGAGATTTAATAAATTTGTAGCCCAGGTCACAGTGGGAAAAAAAATTATTTTTTTATGATTATTATTGGTCAAACCAGAATCACATGACCAAATAAAATAAAATTTATCTTTTCGTCACATTTACATGACCCGCCCAGTCATGAGAAACGAATAATTTTATTTACTTGGCCTAATCAATGTAATTTGTTATACGTACAGTCATACAGTAAGTATATTCATATTGAATTTATTATCAATGTACGTTGTCAATAGGAATATTAGAATGGATAAAACGCTACAAAATTACAAATTGAAAATGCGATAAACTCTAAATTGATATTATTGTAAATTAGACGTACATGAAGATATTTCAATACATAATATAGAAAAAAAATTCCACTTCTAACCTTTATTATATCGAAAATGTGCACATACGGATTGACTGATGATAACTATCATAAATACTAATAAGAGTACGCTATATTAGTTAATATTATATGTATACAAAGATTAAAATTTATTTCATTCTAATATTTTTTAATATTTCAGTATTCATACTCATTTACTGTATCACTTATGGAAAAGAGGTTTTACCAAAAGTTTTATAAACTGATATTTTTATGGAACTTCTAAAAATAAATCTTGAATCTTTATTTGCTTTTACAATTATTTAATAACTACGCAAATTTGTGTCATTTTATTACTTAATCTTTAATCATCAAGGAAAATTTATTAAATTTTATTTTACAACGGCAATATATTTGATTTGTGAAAATATGGAGATGTTGAATTTCAAAAATTTGTTTTTAATAGAAATCCAATAATAATTATATACTCCTATTATATTTGTTCAGTAATGAGCCGGTAACTTCTTTATTGCATAATATACCGTAGTACTTAGAACAATCATTTTTGTTATCAGTTATAATGTTGTATATAAAATAGATATCTTTTAAATCAATGACATTTAAAATCTAAAAATAAACATATACTTATCCTTATGTGATTTGAAATACTTCATAATCTTCTATTGAAAACACACCATCTTTATCTCTCATCTTTTTTTCATAATAAGATTTTTTACAAACAATAGTACTGTAATTTGTAGATTCTTTAGAAGAAAATATAACAATATCATCGCCAAAACATGGGCCATTATTATTACCATGATAAATTGCACATTTTGTATTTTCTACATTACTAATAATTGCATCTTTAGCATTATTATTCTTAAAAGAAAAAATAAAGCTATCTTTAGTTTTATTCCAACCACGAGAAGATTTCCATATTATTGGATTATATCCACCAAGAATTTCATCTGTCCCTTTTACTTTAATAAATGTAACAGTATAAGGTATATCATTACATAATTCATGAAATTTTTTAGGTGTAAATCCATCATGGCTCCCTCTTAATAATAATTGAAATTTGTATGGTAAATATAAATCTCTTAAATGGTCAAATTTATTATTAATAACCATTTTATCAATTTGTCTTGAAATGGTTGAAATAATATTTAAGTTATTAACAATTTTTGAATCAATAATTCCATCAATTTTAAGATTCCTTGGAAGTAGAATATCATCAGTTGGTTCACTATTAGGATCCAAATGAGAATTTAATAAATCTTCATAAAGTTGACGTTTTAAGAGTTTTTTATAAGGACGAACTTTTTGTAAGAATTCTTTAGATGACAAACCAAAAAATCTAACCAAGGGTAAACAATGTTGTAAAGCATTTTCCATTGTTCTGAAATCTTCATCCGACCAAGTATCGGGATCCAGAAGAAGTGTGGGATTTTGTGCAAGACCCCATTTTAACAAATGTTCCCAAACTTCAACTTCTTTCATTTGTAAATCATCTCTTTTAATAAGTTGAACTAAAGATTTTTCAGGAAGTGAAGTGAAATCAAGTGATTTAAATATTTTCTCTGGAGAGTTTGCCATAAATTCTGCACAATATTGTTGAAGTTCCGACAAAGAATTTGATTGAAAGCTTGTCCTATGAATAAGTTCAAAATGTTGTTCCATCCATTCGGTTTTATTTTCAATTAAATATTTTTGCAAATAATCAACTAATTCTTGAAGAAGTAGTTCATTTGCAGCCAACATAACCTTAATAATTTCTAAATTATCTTGCTCATTTAACGAAAGAATACCACCATAAATATATCTATATTAAAAGTGTAAAAGTTAGAATTTGAATATTAGAGTTACTTAAATAAACTTAATTTATATAATACTTACTTTAAAATAATTTGAAAATTTTCTGGTAATATATTTGATAATTTAATATGAGTTAAGATATTATCTTTATTCTCTTTATTTAAAACTAAAACCCGTCTTAAATATGGAGAACGGTAACATAAAATATTCATATGCGCACGAAAGATTTTTACATTAGGATCTTCACCAACTTCAATTGTAATATCATAATATTCATCGTCTCCTAGTAATTCAATATAGTTTTGACTTAATTTTGAGAAAAATTGAGTTGACATGTTTTATATTTATAATTTTACAAAATACAGAAAACCATGGATTTATGGATTTGCAAGTTAATTTATAATGCATGTAATATTACACGAGCACCTGTTATTTTGTGTTCATGTCAAATTTGGTTAGTATGGTTAGTATGATACGTACCGGGAACTCTTTGTGTGAAAAATTCATATAATGGCGCAGTAAAAGTTTTTTTTAACTTCAACACCTTTTAAATTTTATTTTTCGCTTAAAACTCAACCCAAATGCGAATAAATCTACCGATACTGGCACTCCAAATATTGTAGTATATACATATGGTAAACGTTTTTAACCTTTAAAAGAATTATACGACCTTTCTTGAAAGGTGAAGTTTTATGACAAACATTTTAACATACTATTGACCGTTACATTATTTTTATTTTAAAGAGTTCAACACTTTACAACGTCATTTTACGTTACAATTATACAAACTTAATCTTATCATAAAAAGATACTTTTATTGTATATTTTACACTCTTTTTATATGTCCTTTTCAAAACCTATCACTTTTCCTCTGGGAAAAAATTCTCTCCTGGTGTCCCTGAAAAATTTCACGTGAAAACAAGAAAAAAAACTGGTTATAACAAGATCTATGAATTTCCGCCGCTCAAAAGTTTCTTTTTTGAGCCTGCCGATCGACATCAAAACACCAATGAAATCCCATACAAATGATTATCTATTAAAGACTACTCCCCTTCGGTATAAATCCACGAGCAAATTTCCCAATGACAAATACCAAATCAGTATAATGCTCACGCATTTTTTCCCCTTACCACGCAGTATACAATCAAAATTCTTAAGCTTAATACGATCAAAATTGCTAGAAAGAATTAAATTTTTACAGTCACGTGCCCTAGATAAAAAAGAGCGCAATAATATTACACGAACATTTTTTAATTTCACATAAAAAATATAGATTTTATTTTGGAATTTTTGTTCCTTGCCCATATAATATAGATATCAAAAATAATGGAATCGTCAACACTCCTTCTACACCACATATTTGTAACGTTCCTTGCCCTTTTGTAATGTCTAACGTTAGATTTGCATGTGGCAATCATCAAAAAAGATTTTTTTCTACTAAACTATTTCATAATACACGTCATCATAAACAAAATCTCCTAATGATACATCATCTTATAGTATAATCTCGCATGCCAATAGAGTTTGCGTTCCAAAGAAACAACGTATTTACTCCAACCGCTTGGGCATTAGTTATAATGTTCCTACCGCTCTAATGGTTTAAAGAAAGTCATCGACCAAGGATCTCGTTATATGTACAAAAAATTTTTGAATGGATTCGAACGTTTATCTCAATCTAATGCGCGCACAAAGAAAAAACATGAACGTTTTGAACGTCATTGTCGTAGGATCTTTAAAGCACCAATTGGTTCTGGAAATTCTAACTTGGACACTAGAATTTTTCAAGCTCGAAAACACCGATTCTTGTTTTTAGAATCTCAATATATCGCTAAACCAATACGACATTTAAAATATCTAAAATTATCAAACATCTCATCGCATTTAGAGGAAGATATCCCTTTAAAACACCTCTTTGGACGCTTAAGAATGCCTCCCGCAATATTGCTTTTAGAGCACAAGATAATTCGCCAACAGTGCATATTACTGGAATCTTCGATGGACCCGCCACCACTATTATTCCTCATCCTGAAATTCTAAAGTTATTGAATAAAAGGCGCTATGTGGCTTTAGCTCGTGCTTCAACGATTTCTTCACAATCATATTACGATTTTCGTAATCAATTTCGTGACCGTCGAATTGAGGATATTGTTATAGCCAGTTCTTTAGCATTTAAAACGTAAACAAATGGAAAAGGGTAAGCAGAAGGTATATAGATAGACGGGTATAATCAATAAATAAACTATATGTATAAACACTTAATAAACAATCCAATCAGACGTGTAGTATAGCACTGTACGTCGGCATATACTCCCAACACGAATAAAGGATAACAAATTTATATTTCGTTAAATTAAAACAACAGTTTATTTAATATAATCATTAGAACCATTTTTATTAAGAAAACTCTTCTACTTGAACTTCATTCAACTACAGATCTAATTACAGGTCTATATATATGTAAAAATACCAGACTAAAAATATCTAACATATTGCATATATTAAATATATTAAATAAATTAAGCATATTTGATATGTTGCATATATTTGATATGTTGAACATATTTGATATGTTACATATATGCAACATATGCAACATTTCGAACATTTATCGTCACCTCGTGATTAGGCCGAATTTTGGTCACGTGATCGATCGTTTCGCTACAATATCACTATGATGAATACGTTCTATGATGAACGAATGAACAGTTTCAAAAGTAGAAGTGAAAGATCCACTAATCGTAAGACTCGTGCACGTCTTGAACGTGAATTTAATAATTTTGTTACAAATTTTAAAGAAATCTTTGACGAACGTTTTCGTCCTGAACAATTACTTTCATACGATGCGACTGAACCTATGGAATCTCGTCCGTGCATTGACCTGTCCAAGTTGCGCATTAGCCAGTAATAACAAAAGGATGGCTATTAATAATTCAAATCTACATAACTATGAAATTTTACAATCAGTCAAAAAGACATGCTTTAAACTTATACCTCAGGCTGATATTAACGTGCTTCAACATATCGATAATGATTGGTTTCCCAACTATGATGACACCAACAACTCAAATCCAAAACGTGACCGCAAAATTGCCCGTCCAACATCTCGTATTGGACTCCACAGATGCTGGGCCTTCTTCTAAACAGTAACACCCTTTGAGTCCAATATCCTTTAGATTAAAATTTTTTTTTTAGTTTTTTAACATACCTTCTACAAAACAACTTAAAATAGTGTTGAATAATTCCACCTCTTACAGTATTTACAGGTGGCACCTTTGGGTCCGACTTGATCTGCAATTATTTTACTTATTTTTTGGTAATCCTTTTTTTTTTTTTGGTAAAAACCCTTTATTAGTATTATAAAAATTTATTACATAAACAATTATAATATGGACGCAAAAAATATGGACGCAAAAGCATCATGTCAACAAGGAATCTATCTAAATTAAACTAATACATTAAACATAATCTTAACTATTTCTTGTTGGGAATTTTTATAACGTAAAATACGTAACTTCAACTAGGATCTTTCAAAATATGATTCACACTAGTTCCACCCTCTATCTTTTCTTGTACATCTTTTCCTGGCTCTTGGTTGCTCTTTTTTCATTCATATTCTTAGGATCCGTCTCCTTAACGCGCTTTGTAAACTCATCGTTTAACGTAGTAAATTTTTGTATCACTTCATGTGATTCCGCCGCGCAAACGACGCTTTCTTTTATAAAAACACGTACGTCATCCTTCGGCATCCACTTCTGTCTTACTTACCGCAGCCTTTTCTATAGCTTCCCATTCCATCTCTTCTCCACATTTCACAAAAATATCTTTCAAATCCTCATATTTTGGAGATACATTCGCCATTCTATCCTTTGTTGGCGATATTTTATGGTAATCTAGTTTACACACATAATAATAACTTTACTTAATTTAAAGTATAATTCACATCCCATAATTATAATCATGAATAGACTAGTAGGTTAAGCTAATAATAATTTTAAGGAAAGGTATTATTTTCTTATCGAAATTTCAAATATCCAGAAATAGGATTATCTTATTATAAAGTTTTGGAGATTAGCAAAAAATTTTGAAGTAATTTCTTGGAAAAGTATTATCATTAATAGTCCTTTGAAATATAAACCTTAAAAATAACAATATGAACTATCAAAAATTCTTAAACAATGAACGCTCTTTTATTAAACCAATTTTATTTTTCTATTCTTATGTAAAATAAACGCCATCTCAATATATTTTTGTCTATATATTACAAGAATGTGTCTAATTCAAGTTTTTACCAATTTATATATTTATAGGAAAATATTTTATAAGGGATAAAAGGGTTCCGGATCTTGACGGATGGCCCGACTTCAGTCTGTTATCCGATCCGTTAACAAAATGTTCATCCGATCTATCTAATTTATCCGACGGATGACGGATATCCGAATATAAACGGGTGATTGGAACACTATCATTGACCGAAGTCATACTGCGAAACAAATATATAAATAATATCGCGATCGTATAATTATTTTGATGATAAAAACTAAAGAAATCGGTTCTCTATAAATAATATTCATCTATCTTTTAATCCTTCACTCATAATGAATATATTTGCCAAATTATAAACTTAACCTCTTTAAATTAATGGAAACTCAAAAATTAGGCAAATAAGAAAGTTATTTATACAAAAAATTCAGGCTGTGATATCATAAAAAAGGAATATATAAAAAAAATTATGGTACATTTAGTAAGTAGAAAAAGTTTTACATGAAACAACACAAGATGCAGCATTATTTTCACGCGTAAATACAATATAATAATTATAAAAATAGCAATTTTAAGCGCGTTCAATAATTTATTTAATGGAAGTAAAACATATTTAAAATTTGAATTATCTAATACTAAAATATTTTTTGTTTTAAATAAAATAAATAAAACCAATACATTTAATATAATAATATTATTTATCTCTTTACTATTTGGAATACTTCGTAGTCATCCATAGAAAATTTGTCTTTTGTCTCTCTTATCTTTTTTTCATAATACTTCTTTTGACACCAAATATTATCATAATCTCTAGAATCTCCATTAGAGGAATATATCACAATATCATCACCAAAAAATGGTCCATGTATACTCTTATAATTTGCTGCATAACATATATCGTTAGTAATATAACTAATTATTGCATCTTTAACATTATCATTTTTGAAAGAAAAAATAAAACTATCTTTAGTTTTGCCCCAACTACCACTAGAAGATTTCCATATTAACGGATTATATCCACCAATAATTTCATCTGTTCCTCTTACTTTAATAAATGTAACAGTATGGGGTATATCATCACATAATTTATGAAATTTTTTAGGTGTAAATCCATCACTGCTTCCTCTTAATAACAATTGAAATTTGTACGGTAAGTAAAATTCTCTGACATATGAAAATTTGCTATTAATATTATCAATACATCTTGAAATTGTTGAAATAATATTTAAATTATTTACAATTTTTGAATCAATAATTCCATCAATTTTAAGATTTCTAGGAAGTGAAATATTGCTAGTTTGGTCAATATCAGGATCCAAGTAAGAAATTAATAATTTTTCATAAAGTTGACGTTTCAATAGTTTTTTATAAGGACAAATTTTCTGCAAGAATTCTTTAGATGATAAACTAAAAAATCTAATTAAAGATAAACAATCTTGTAAAGTATTTTTCATGCTGTCAAAATCATCATCTGACCAAGTACTAGGATCTGGAAGAAGTGTGGGATTTTGTGCAAGACCCCATTTTAATACATGTTCCCAAACTTCAACTTCTTTCATTTGTAAATCGTCTCTTTTGATAAGTTGAACTAAAGATTTTTCGGGAAGCGAAGTGAAATCAAGAGATTTAAATATTTTCTCTGGAGAGTTTGCCATAATATCTGTACAAAATTGTTGAAGTTGTAATAAAGAATTGGATTGAAAGCTTGTTCGATGAATAAGTTCAAAATGTTGTTCCATCCATTCAGATTTATTTTCAATTAAATAAATTTGTAAATAATCAACAAGTTCTTGAAGTAGTAATTCATCAGCGGCCAATAATAGTTTGAGAATTTCAGAATTGTCTTGGCCATTCAATGAAAGAATACCACCATACATATACCTATACAAAAAAAAAGTGAATTTTGAATTTGAATATGAAAATTCTACTAGTATAATAAAAACTTGTATGCAAACTTACTTTATAATAATTTGAAACACTTCCGATGATATATTTGGTAACTTAATGTGAGCTAAAGAATTATTATCTTTATTCTTCTTATTAGTAGTCAAAGTTCTTCGTAAATATGGGGAACGGCAACACAGAATACTAACATGAGCACGAAGGATTTTTACATTAGGTTCTTTACCAACTTCAACCGTAATATCATAATATACATCATCATCTATTAATTCAATGTAATTTTGACTTAATTTCGAAAAAAATTGAGTAGACATTTTTAGTTTTTTTTTTAAAAAAAAGAAAGGTTCAAATATGGAAAAGGGGTCATTTAAATTAAATTCTTGTGCGGTTGTACAATAGGCCCGAACTTATATATAAAAGGTCAGATCCTCAGATTTTGCGTAGAATGATCAAACTATTATGTAAGTCTTCCTTTTTTTGATAATGCCAAGCAGCATTATACGATGTCGGCCCTGAAGAGCTGATAGTAATATGTGCTGATCTCCTTAATATGACGTTAATTTTTAGGCAAAATCTCTTGAGACATGCACTTTACTCGGTATTAAGAATTGCAATATTTTGCTAGAGCCAATGTTGTGGGCGAAGCTAAAATAAATGATGACCCAAAAGTTAACGTTTCCGTCTTTCAAACCTAAAACTAACTAACAAAGTTTTACTTGTCGGTTATTAATAATAATAAAAAAAAAAAATTTTTTTGTTAACTTCTGCACGTGTTCATCATGATGTATTGATGTAAGTATAAAACTGTGATAAATAGAATAAATACGTCTTCTACTATATCTGCTATGACTTTTACTTATTTTTTCATGTCTTTTCCAATAAAAATACAAAATAATATACTTTTTTTGAATATAACTGTTAGTGTAACTCCACTCGTTTAGTAATTTTTTTTTTATTTAAGAAAAGTAGTTGATTTGATTAATTGCATACAGATATGTAGAACAAGAAGTTTATTAAAAATACATTGTCGAAGTAACTCGTTTAGTAAGTATGATATACATTACTTCCGTTGGAAAAAAAATTTGAAACCATTCTTGATTTTACTTTTTGCAATTCTAATAGTTTATTTTTTTTTAAAAAAAATCGTTCTTAAATAAGACTTATATATGAATTATCATTTCAAGTTTCTAACCCTCTTTTTTTACGACCATTAAAAAAAAAAATAAAATAAATGCGCTAGTCTACGTGTATTATAATAATTGCACCCACCTAGATTGAAATCTTATTTCGACAAAATTATGATTTTTAACTCTGCCATAATATTCAATGCAAAATGATAATACAAAATATCTATTCGATCGAACCATACGAAAACCATTGCTTAGAGCCTCAAACCATGTAACCACACATATTTCTCAAGTACCAATTTAATTCAAAAAAAAAAAAAAATTTACAATTAAAAAACATTGTTTTATTATTTAAAATTTAAAATTAAGAAGTCCGCAACAGCGTTCATTTTAATATTGAACAAATTCGTATTTTCATCTAATTTTTTTTAATTATCTTGACTATTTTGCTAAATGAAAATTTCTTCCCCATTTTTAATTTATCGTCTTGACATACTTGCTCCAAGTGGCTTAATAATTTTTCTCTTGACTTATTTCTACTTTTGCCATTTATTCTATTAATAGTAACTACGTCTTCATCATCATCACTATTATTTTCATATGCTTTAATATCTATTGGAGGATTGTCCACATGGATGACTTTACATGATTTAACTATTTTAGCAATTTTTTTATTGACATCAAGCATTGCTTTAATATCTTTTTCACATTCATCTTTATTTTGAAAGCTAGCAAATTTAGTCCTCACAATAGTAACAAAGCCGCCCTTAAAAATCTCCTTCAAAAAATCGTATATTTCTATTTCTTCTTTTAAGAATCTTCCGTCAGTCACAAGTAAAACCTGACTTATTCCTTCCGACATCGAATTAATTTTTTCTATTATACTACTCAAAACTTCTTTCGTAGTTAGATTAATATTACCAATCCCAACAGTATCAGCTACACTATATTTAATCTTTTTCCAATCAAAACTTCTTATCTGAATATTTTGAGTTTCGCTAACTGTGTAATTTCCTTCCTTAAATTCATCAGTGCCAGTTAGTACATTACATAAAACAGATTTACCACAACCAGTACCGCCAACTACTAATACATTTCTATTATCCATAGTTAATTTTTTTTTTTAGTTTGTTGTTATTAGAAAAATCGAGTTTGGTAAATATCTGAGCGAAAATTAATAACTAGTTCGTATTCAGTTATCCAATTGACACGTGATTAGTATTTGGAAAATCAGTCACAGATAAATCTCGTAAGTTTATAAAGTTACAGACAAGTTAATAATATTATTGAGAACAATAATAAATTTCTAACTTGTTAAATTTCAATTTTTAAAGATTTTTATTCCAAGTAACGAAAATGTTTTAAATTTTTGTTAACAATAATTTTTATTGACAGAAAGAAAAATGCACATTATATTTATTCAGAATGTACTGTACTATTTATGCATGTAAAGTGTCTCAAGTGTCCCCTGCATGATTATCTATAACGCCTTAATTATATATTATCGGCCGTTTAATCAAATAGTGATATCATTGTGCACAAGTATCACCAATCAACAATGTGCATATCTTTTTATAGATTGACGTTAAATACGTTAAATAACGGAATTTTTTTATTTTTTTTTATAATAATGATAACTTAAGTAATAGTTAAAAAGGCAATTAAAAATTTCTTACATTAAAGTAACAATAGTTTTTTTATATTGTAAACTCAACTCATTTTTGTACTAATAAAATAATTTAAATGATGATTTGAGCGGTTTTCTGTCAATTGTAGATCATTGAAGAAAACGATTGATTGAAGATCATTAAGAAAAAGGTTGAAGAAAAAGGTGGTTTTTAATAAGTTTTATAAGTGAATAAGTTGATCGTACTTAAATAACAATAAAATTATATGCTACAATCATTTTATATTATAAAGAACAAATTATATTACAGATTTTTTGAAATATATGTAAATATGTAAAAAATTACGTCACCGTATAAATAATTATAAATCTGATCAAAATTAGGATGATTTTAATTAAATTATATCTAAATATTTTGTTAAGCTATACTAACTCTGTTAATATTGATCATTAAAAAGATGATTTTGCTATAATCTAAGCATTTTAATGAACTCGATTGAGTCAATTAACATTTTTATAAAAGATTGTGATGTCTATTTACCGTGATCTAGTAATATATATAAATTTAATTGTTGTATTTTGAAATATAATTTTTAAGAAAATTAATCATAATTTTATATTTTATAACATGCAAATAGTAGTAAAAGGTAATTTAAAAATTCTGATAATGGATGGACACGGAAAAATATTTTATTCTAAAACTGAATAATTTTTTTTATTTTTTATTCTGGATATGGCTAGAATTATTAATTCTTTAATATTAGTAAATAATATAAAAAAATATTAATAAAAGGTTTCAATGATTTCATCAGTTTTAAACTAATTCAGAATTTTTATCAGTTTAAGAATATTAAGTGATCTGGTAATACTGATTTCGCTAAGTTTGAAATCATCCTTTGACGAAACTTGTAAGTTACACTCACAGCATTAGTCAGAAAAAATATAATAATTTATTTATGCGAAAACAAAGTAATTATGATAAATTTATAAAAATAACTGAAGATTTTATTTTACTTAAATACCTATCCTACCTATAAACTAATCAAATATTAAAATTTTTATCTGTATCTAGCAATTCTTAAAAAACAAAATATAGAGATTTTGAATTTTCGATAATATACGAAAAAAGATGGAGTTTTGTATAAGATTCAAAATCTAATTTATTTAAGAAAAACTAAAATTGATAATAGTAAAAAAATCTTTTAATACATCATTTATTTAAGGAAATTTTCTAAATTTAAGTTTCTATTTGAAACCTAACACTCCTTTAGGATAACTTCTTATTTAATGTCTGAACAAACATAATAATTTTCTTATATATATATTTTTTTTGTTAATTATACGTGTAAATTTCATAATATTTTTAAGATAAATACACTCGTCACCTTATAATTTGAAATACTTCATAATCTTCCATAGCAAATGTACCGTCAGAATCTTTTATCCTTTTTTCATAATAATTCTTTCCATAAGAAATAAAATTATAATTCATATCATCATAACTAGAAGATATAGCAATATCGCCAAAATATGGACCACCGACAATACCATAAAGTAATGCATAATCTGTATGTTTTATATTACTAATTATTGCATTTTTAGCATTATTATTTTTAAAAGAAAAAATAAAACAATCTCTGTTTTTAATCCAACTACCGGAAGATTCCCATTTCAAAAGGTTATATCCACCAAGAATTTCTTCCGTTCCTTTTACTTTGATAAATGTTACAGTATAAGGTTTATTATTACATAATTCATGAAATTTTTTAGGAGTAAATCCATCTCGACTTCCTCTTAATAATAATTGAAATTCGTAGGGTAAATACAATTCTCTTAAGTAATCAAATTTATTATTAATACCCATTTTATCAATCCATCTTGAAACTACTGAAATAATATTTAAATTATTAATAATTTTTGAATCAATAATTCCATCAATTTTTATATTTCTAGGAAGTGAAATATTGTCAATTGGTTCACTATCAGGATCCAAATGAGAATTTAATAAGTTTTCGTAAATTTGACGTTCTAAAAGGTTTTTACAAGGACGAACTTTTTGTAAAAAATCTTTAGATGATAAACTAAAAAATCTAATTAAGGGTATACAATGTTTTAAAGTATTTTCCATTGTTTTGAAATCTTCATCTGACCAAGTACTAGGATCTGGAAGAAGTGTGGGATTTTGTGCAAGTCCCCATTTTAATACATGTTCCCAAACTTCAACTTCTTTCATTTGTAAATCGTCTCTTTTAATTAGTTGAACTAAAGATTTCTCAGGAAGCGAAGTGAAATCAAGTGATTTAAATATTTTCTCTGGAGAGTTTGCCATTAAATTTGTACAAAATTGTTGAACTTCTAATAAAGAATTTGATTGAAAGCTTGTTCTATGAATAAGTTCAAAATGTTGTTCCATCCATTCAGATTTATTTTCAATGAAATATTTTTGTAAATAATCAACTGGTTCCTGAAGAAGCAGCTCATCCACGGCCAATAAAACTTTAAAAATTTCTGTAGTGTCATGATCATTTAATGAAAGAATACCACCATAAATATACCTATAAAACAAAAATTTAATAATTTAAATTTCCTATTTGAATATTTGATTATGTAATACATATAAATTTTTTTATTATAAATAAAACTTACTTTAAAATAATTTGGAAGACTTCAGGTGATATATTTGGTAACTTAATATGGGCTAGAACATTATCCTTATTTTTTTTACTAGAAGTTAAAGTTCGTCGCAAATATGGAGAACGGTAACATAAAATATTTATATGTGCACGAAAAATTTTTACATCAGGATCCTCACCAACTTCAATTGTAATATCATAGTATTCATTATCTTCCAATAATTCAATATAATTTTGACTTAATTTTGAAAGAAATTGTGTTGACATAATTTATGTTTAAAATTAAATTGAGGTGGCGTCCAACTAAAAAAATCGGCGGGTATAAATTTATAAGGTTCATCGTTTCAGATATGGTTAAATTAAATAAGCATTAACGTAATTCTTTCCAAAATTGAATTTTACTGCGCCATTGGCGCTCTCGGGTACTACACTCAAGTAATGCGATCAGCTGAAGATTCATGGTACGAGTATTACTTGATCGGAATCATCAATTACGTACTTTTTGGTTCTGTCATTTGGTCAAATTAATTCATTATGGATAAAAAAGAAGCGACGAATTATTTTTAATGATAAAGAAATTGTTCTATGCAAATAATGCTTATATACTTCACTCATAATGAAAATATTTCTTAATAACAAATACCATTTTAAAATATTGAAATTTAACGAAGAATTCAAGTCCGATGTTGTCCATAAGAAGGAATATAGAAAAGGTATAATAATTTTAGTAAGCAAGTAGAAAATGTTTTACATAAAACACATACATTATTTCACATATTCATATAGTACAAGATTAGGAATTTGATAATGATCTAATTTATGAATAAAATGATAATTTAAGTCCACTTAAAAATCTATTCACAAATATATTTCCAACATATTTAAATAATCTAATAAAGGTATTCTTTATTAAATAAGATTATTTGGTAAAAAGATACTACATTTATTTCTTTACTATTTGAAATACTTCATAATCATCTATGGAAAAATAATTCTCGGTATTTCTTATCTTTTTTTCATAATACTTCTTTTTACAACGAATTTCATCGTAATCTGTGTAATTCCCACCAGAAGCATGCATGATAATATCATCACCAAAACGCGGACCATTTCTATAATAATAATATATTGCATAATCTGCATTTTCTATATTACTAATAGTTACATCTTTGACATCATTATTTTTGAAGGAAAAAATAAAACTATCTTTAGTTTTACCCCAACCATCAGAAGATTTCCATATTATCGGATTATATCCACCAAGAATTTCTTTCGTTCCCTTTACTTTAATAAATGTAACAGTGTGAGGTCTATCATCACATAATTCATGAAATTTTTTAGGTGTAAATCCATCTCGACTTCCTCTTAATAATAATTGAAATTTATAGGGTAAATGCAATTCTCTTAAGTGATCAAATTTATTATTAATAACCATTTTAGCAATCCGTCTTGAAACTACTGAAATAATATTCAAGTTATTAATAATTTTTGAGTCAATGATTCCATCAATTTTTATATTTCTAGGAAGTGAAATATTGTCAATTGGTTCACTATCAGGATCCAAATGAGAATTTAATAAGTTTTCGTAAAGTTGACGTTCTAAAAGGTTTTTATAAGGACGAACTTTTTGTAAAAAATTTTTGGATGATAAACTAAAAAATCTAACCAAGGGCAAACAATGTTTTAAAGTATTCTCCATTATTTTGAAATCTTCATTTGACCAAGTATCAGTATCTGGAAGAAGTGTAGGATTTTGCGCAAGACCCCATTTTATTACATGCTCCCAAACTTCAACTTCTTTCATTTGTAAATCGTCTCTTTTAATAAGTTGAACTAAAGAATTTTCGGGAAGCGAAGTGAAATCAAGTGAATTAAATATTTTCTCTGGAGAGTTTGCCATAAAATCTGTACAAAATTGTTGAAGTTTTATTAAAGAATTGGATTGAAAGCTTTTTCGATGAACTAATTCAAAATGTTGTTCCAGCCATTCGGATTTATTTTCAATCAAATATGTTTGTAAATAATCGACCAGTTCTTGAAGAAGCAGTTCATCAGCAGCTAATAAAATTTTAAAAATTTCTGAATTATCATGGTCGTTCAATGGGAAAATACCACCATAAATATATCTAAATTAATATAAATATTAGATTTATAGTACTGTCAAAAATATTAAAATTTATTTTCAGATAAACTTACTTTAAAATAACTTGGAAGACTTCAGGTGATATATTTGGTAACTTAATATGAGCTAGAACATTATCTTTATTTTTTTTACTAGAAGCCAAGGTTCGTCGTAAATATGGAGAACGGTAACATAAAATATTTATATGTGCACGAAGGATTTTTACATTAGGATCCTCACCAACTTCAATTGTAACGTCATAGTATTCATTATCTTCCAATAATTCAATATAATTTTGACTTAATTTTGAAAGAAATTGGGTTGACATAATTTACGTTTAAAGTTAAATTGAGGTGGCGTCCAACTAAAAAAATCGGCGGGTGTAAATTTATAAAGCTCACCGTCTCATATATGGTTAAATTAAATAAGTATTAACGTAATTCTTTCCAAAATAGAATCTTACTGCGCCATTGGCACAACGTTGATCATTCAATCACGTACTTTTTGTCATTTGGCTAAATTTAATAAGAAGAGACGGATTATTTTTAATGATAAATTAAAGAAATTGGTTGCTATTTTTAATGATAAATTAAAGAAATTGGTTGCTATTTTTAATGATAAATTAAAGAAATTGGTTGCTTAATCCTTCACTCATAATGAATATAATTTTTAATAATAAATATCTTAACTCTTGAATCGATGAAATTTAACGAAGTATTCAAGGCTGATGACGTTGTTTATAAAAAGAAATATAGAAAAAATTACAATACTTTTAACAAGTAGAAAGGTTTTACATAAACCACTATAAAACATATTTAATATTTAATATTTATGTAATCTTTAAAAGTACTCTTTATTTCAAATAATATCGAGGGATTTACTATCTCTTTATTATTTGAAATACTTCATAATCATCCATAGAAAATCTATCTTCGGTATCTCTTATCCTTTTTTCATATTGATTCTTTTTACACCAAATGCAATCGTAATCTGTGTTTTCACCACCAGAAGCATATATAATAATATCATCACCAAAAAATGGTCCATGTATATTCCAATAATTTATTGCGAGATCATTAGTAACATTACTAATTATTGCATCTTTAACGTTATTATTTTTGAAGGAAAAAATAAAGCTATCTTTAGTTTTACCCCAACCACCATTAGAATTCCATATTATCGGATTATATCCACCGAGAATTTCTTCCGTTCCCTTTACTTTAATAAATGTAACAGTGTGAGATATATTATCACATAATTCATGAAATTTTTTGGGTGTAAATCCATCTCGGCTTCCTCTTAATAATAATTGAAATTTATATGGTAAATATAATTCTCTTAAATGATCAAATTTGCTATTAACAACAATAGCTGTTTTGTCAATCCATTTCGAAATAGTTGAAGCGATTTCTAAATTAACAATCTTTGTATCAATTATTTTCTCAATTCCAATTTTCCTAGGAGGTAAAATGCTGTTATTCGGGTCGCTAATAGGGTCCAAATGAGATTTCAATAAATCTTCATAAAGTTGACGTCTTAAAAGATTTTTAAAAGGATGAACTTTTTCTAAGAATTCTTTGGATGATAAACTAAAAAATCTAATTAAAGATAATAATTGCTGTAAAGTATTTTCCATTGTTTTAAAATCATTTTCTGACCAATTATTAGGATCTGAAAGAAGTGTAGGATTGCGTGCGAGACCCCATTTTAACACATGTTCCCAAACTTCAATTTCTTTCATTTGCAAATCATTTCTTTTAATGAGTTGAACTAAAGATTGTTCCGGAAGCGAAGTGAAATCAAGTGATTTAAATATTTTCTCTGGAGATTTTGCCATAAAATTTGTACAAAATTGTTGAAGTTGTAATAAAGAATTTGATTGAAAGCTTGTTCGATGAATAAGTTCAAAATTTTGTTCCATCCATTCGGATTTATTTCCAATTAAATACTTTTGTAAATAGTCAACTGGTTCCTGAAGAAGCAGCTCATCCGCAGCCAATAAAATTTTGAAAATTTCTGAAGTATCATGATCATTTAATGAAAGAATACCACCATAAATATACCTATAATACAAAAATTTAATAATTTAAATTTAGTATTTGAATAGGACCCCGAGCTATATATATAGAGGTAAGGTGCAGTCAAAAAAAAATTACTATTAGCTCTACGCATTTTTTCAGGGCCGGAATTATGATAATGCCAGTCAGCGTCTAAAAAGGGAAATAAATTCCGGCCGGAATATCTATAAAAGGAAAGATCTACATGATTATTTTGGTCAATTCTACGCAAACCTTTACCCTACCTTTTTATGTATAGCTCGGGGTCCTATTTGAATATTTGATTATGTAATACGCATAAATTTATTTATTATAAATAAAACTTACTTTAAAATAATTTGGAAGACTTCAGGTGATATGTTTGGTAACTTAATATGAGCTAGAACATTATCCTTATTTTTTTTACTGGAAGCTAAAATTCGTCGTAAATATGGAGAACGATAGCACAAAATATTTATATGTGCACGAAGGATTTTTACATTAGGATCTTCACCAACTTCAATTGTAACATCATAGTATTCATTATCTCCTAATAATTCAATATAATTTTGACTTAATTTTGAAAGAAATTGCGTTGACATAATTTATATTTAAAATTGAAATTGAGGTAGCGTCGACTCAAAAAATAATTTGTGGTTAATATTGTGTAAATTTATTATGCTTATCGTTTACTTATTTGAAAGTAATTGTAGTAATTGTTTCAGGTGTGGTTGATATGGTTAAATTGAATAAGTATTAACGTAATTCTTTCCAAAATAGAATTTTACTGCGCCATAGGACAAGTACTGCGATCAGCTGATGAGAGTATTTACTCTCGATCGAATCATAAATTACGTACTTTTTGGCCATTTGGTTAAAATAATTTAATTGATTCCTTTTGGAATCATAAGGAAGCGACTAATTATCATTTATCTTTTTATCCTTCGTTGTAATGAATATATTTTTTAATCAGGAAAAGAACTCTTTCCACTGATCATTCTCAAAAGTTTTGCTAAAGAAAAAACTGATGAAAGTCAACTGTATAAATATATATTAAAAAACTTCGAGATATGAGAATTGGAGCCATATTTATCGAAGGTTTTTTTTTCCTAATGGAATTTTAGAAATATTTATTAAGTATGATAATAATTTAATTTACAAATGAAACAAATGAAATGTTAATTTAGAGTCGAGTTAAAAGATTTCACAAATACAATGTTTATAAAGTGAAACATATTAAATAATAATCTAATAAAAGTATTCTTATTTCATTTCAAATAAGATCGATACAACTTATTTGATAATACTGCATTTAGGCCGCACCAATTCAATTTTTCGTTTAACATAACCCCCTCCCCCCTGTTTTTGGATTTTTTATGTAAAAAAAATACATGTAATTTAGGCCGGAATTATACAAATCTTTAAGTCTTGGCCGGAATTATCATCCAAAATTTTTGCTCACTCTTTTGGTCAAAATTTTGGCCAATATTACCC